GCCATCAAACCATCACGAACGAGGCTCGGGGTTTTCCCCAGGACAATGCAAGCCGGCGAAATCACCACACACACACACACACCCCGACATCGCACGCCGAAACGGTAGCAGCAAGGAAAAAACGGAACAAGCAGCCAAAAACGGCAGAGTCATGATGCCACCGGTGGATCCCGCCCGCCCGACCCGCAACGCGTGGGTTCGCAATGGAGCCCCCAGGTCCTGGTGATAAGCCCGCGAGTCCACTGAGCGAGGTTGAAAGCGAGAGAAAACGGGGGCGCGCGCAATGGGGCGTCCCCACGCTCGCGCGCCCCTTCGCCCTTTCTACCTGTCACTGCGAGGGTCCTCCTGGTCCAGGGCAAGGGAGCGGACGGGTTCCCCGGATGGGTGAAGACACACAAAGGCGACGGAGTCCGCAGAGGAATGAAGCGAACGGGGGGTGTATTAGTAAGGGAGGGGAGAGAAGAGGAAGACGAAGGAGATATGTGCAGGTTTCCGTTGGATGGTCGAGCAAGTGCGACACAGCAGCCATTGGCACGAACTCCTACCATGGCGAAAGAGGGAGCAACAGTCGCACCGCATGAGAAAGGATGGCTGACTGTTCCTCTGCTGCCAGCGAGCCAGCCATCCACTGCCGGCATGCCACAGGCGCGGCAAGTGCGCGAATTGGCAGAGCACGTTGAATCAACGCCGCTCGCCCTCTCTCCTTGTCTCCGCCGAGTTGGCCGAGGGAGGAGCTCGGGGGGCGGAGGCTACGAAGCGACAAGCGGTTCCAAGGAAGTAGACGGGACGGGGGCGAACCTGGGTGCTGCGCCTGTTTTGCCCCCCCCCCCCCCCCCCCCTGCTCCCTGGACTGACTGACCCCAGAGTGTGCCCGTCACAGAGGTCCCGTGCCCACGATGATCAGGGAGAGAGCGAATATGGCCACGATGCGCGCCAGCGAGAGACTGGTTAGACCGCCCACTCACAAGCGCCCTCTCACTCTCCGCATCTTCCTCCTCCTCTCCCTCGTCCGTTTTTCCCGCCCCCTTCCCGTCTGAACAGATTGCCAATCACACAGGTCAATTGAGAGCTCATTGCCTGAGCTTCTCAGATTCGATTCGAGAGTGGATAGCTCGCCGATTGGACATGAATTCAATATCCGGGGAAGCATTTCAAGTGAAACACCGAAGCTTTGAGAGCCAAAAACGTAGGGGATGAATTTTTTGTTATTTTTACAAAAGAGGTTTTCCCCGAGCTCTCGCTCGGAGAAAAGGGGTTTGGTTTGAGGGAGGCGGGAAAGGAAGCTTTCACCCTCCCACGTTTTTCCTCAGTAGTCATCCATCTATACAACAAGGCCCAGGAAAGACCTCTTGTCATCTCAGCGATGACCCTCCACCATCCTCTCCTAAAGAAAAGTGTCGTACCCTCCGGTTGTCTATCCCGTCTATTACTCTATGTGTCGCTATGCGGGGAACAGCAGCGCTGTGGGACGTCCGATCCAGGGCGGTGGACGATTCGGGCACAGTGCGGCCTGCCGGAAGCGATCTGACTTCACGACATTGCCACCACCTCGCTCATATCGGTGTGCGAAACGCTTAGGTCTGTGAACCGGGTTAGACGGCTGTTTCGGTGCCGTGGGGGACTGGCGGAGAACACGTACGAACTTGGCCATGAGGGCAACCATGAGGTCGAAAAGACCAATGGCCTCGACGAAAGCGAAACCCAGAATGGCGTAGGAGAAGAGCTGGCCACGGAGGGCAGGGTTGCGGGCAACGCTGTTGAGGAGGGCAGCGAAGACGAGACCGATACCGATACCGGCACCAGTCAGACCGATGGCGGCGGAACCCATGCCGATGTTCTTGGAGACCTCGACCATGGCCTGAGCGATCTCAGAGGAGTAGGCACGCTTGGCCTGGGCGTTCTGGAACATGCGGCTGGCGTTGGCCTTGAGGGTGACCTGGGGACGGGCGCTGGAGAAGCCTGGAGGAGACTGCTGTCAGTATCGCTGCTCTTGGAGCGCCTGCAGTCCCAATTGGGACTCAAGACCCTCGTCCTCAAAAGATTTTCACTCACCAGTGATGGTGCGCTTGGAGGCGGCCATGGGGGCGGCGCGGACGGCAGGGCGAGCGGCCTTGGTAGCCATGGACGAAGCCAGGCGGGAGGCGAGGACACGAGTGGAGGCCATTTTGTCTGATGGGGAGGAGTGATGTGGAATAGACGGGATGGAGAGGAGAGGCTTGCTGGATTGGAAGGAGAAAGAGAAGGAGAGATAAAGCTCAAGGTCTGGATTGGAGGTGAGGTAGGGTGGAAGAGAAGAAGAGAAAAAAGATCGGGGAGGGAGGAAAAGCTCGAAGCTCGGTAGAGCGATAGGGCAGGGGGGTGGCCGGACCGCGGGAAGGTGGCCCAGGGCGAAACATCATAGGCCGGTCGGATCAATCAGGGCCCTGTTCGCCCAAGGATCGGTGTCTGTTGAGCGGACTGAGGCAGACGTTTTTCCATGCCGGGCAGTGGGTGGACCGCAATGAGCGAGGCGATGGAATCCACAGACGAGACATGGTATGGGGCCATCCGTTTCGCTCGTTGAATTGGCTCAGATGGTGTTCGCTCGCTGACTCGGGCAATATCGGGACGGCGTCATCTCAGAGGGAAGCCTTGGAAGCCTGAGGTTTGGTGGTACACAGAATTCAGAGCCTGAGGTTCACTGGAACGCTTGGCTGGTAGACACGAATCATGCAAGTGGGCTGGCGGATTTGGACTCAGCGCAAGTTTTTCTTCTGGCCCAAGTTGCCAGATAAGAAATTTAATGCACTTGCCCACTAGCTTGTGACCAAGGCTGTGCGTGCGACACTGAACTTCTCTCAGATTTTGTTGAACTGTAACTTCGTCCGAGACGTAGGCTTCTCCATCGGATGGCATCACGAAGTCCTTGCTGGTGGCCGGGCTTCATTGAATCAGGAGACCCAACGCAGTCCCTAACGATTCAAAGTTGCGTCAACAAAAAGGCATGAGATGTTGACCCCCACAGCGATCCTCAGGCAGCCCCCACTATGAGGCGCAAAACCCAATCCGAAGAGCAGATGCAAAAGTGACGCTCACACGTGGGTGGGCCCTCCCCTGCCTCATCCCTGCGAGAGCCGAACCAGACGAGTGGGACCGCCATTTTCGAGCTGGAAGCCGTGAGGGATAAAAGGGGGACGACGAGACGCCGTTCGAAAGGGCTTTTGAGAGGAGAGGTTTTGGTTCTTGAGAGCTCGTCTCTTCATCCTCGACTTCGACAGTCTTTGTCGCATTGGCGGTGGTGGCCGGTTCGAAAACAAACTTTCATCGTCAGTACCTCGGACATGGCGTCAGCCAGCCGACGCCTGGTTGAGCTCATGGATTGCCCCTGGCATGTCGCTACGTTAGATCCCGGCCGGTCGCCGAAATCTCTGCCGACACTGCAACGCAGTGCAGTGCATCCTGACCTGCACCACACTGCTGGGCGCGGCTGGTTCACTGAGTGACTGAGCAAGAACCTGGCTGGCTCGGCTTGGCTCGCTCACCCAGCTGGGCAGCACGGGTGTTCCGCCAATGAGTGCGCAGGACCTCGGGGGCTTCCCTTTGGGCCGATCCTCCGAGGTCTGAGAGTGGCCGAAGGAGATGAGCGACGAGCGAAACGGGAAAGCAAACAGCTGGCGGGAACATGAGGAGATTGGGTGCGGGTCCTGACTCGTCCAAGCTTGTCTCGGGGGGGAAGCAGAGTTTTCCAAGCCAGGCCAACAGATCTGTCACCTCGATCAGGAAAGAATTGAGGTGCCTGAGGCTCTGCGGCTGGCTGACACAACCGTGTCAGAGCACCTTACCTTATTGTAAAATGACGCAGCTCGCGTTTCTTGTTCCGTACCGTGAATAACGGTATGCTCATCATCCTGATGTGCTCCGATGTCGCCCTTGTCGATGTGATCTGGCCAGATAAGTAGATGCAATCCAGTTGCTCGACAACTCGAGGCTATTAGGTGCGCACACCCCCCCAAGGCATGGTGACGTGACTTTCATGCTGTCAGGTTGAGGTTCACAATGAACCCCCACGGGCTGCCAGCTTGCACCAGCCAGCTGGCCAAGCCTGTTCAGCTTTCGAAAAGGGGGTCTTGGTGCTTGGACGGAAGAAGGAAAATGGAAGAAAGGAAAGATTGGCGACGGTTCCTGCAGATGCCTGAGGCCCTTGGCTGGTAGATTGATGCAACCTCGACTCCCAGGGATTGGACATGACGGCCACTTTCGGGTCCACCGACCCGGCGGGTAAGACCGGGAATTGCGCCTGTGGAATACGATCTTCGATTTCAGCACAGGTGGTGGGTGACTGGGTGACTGGACGCGAATGCAAGGTCTCAAAATGCGATTGTTGAATGCCAAAGCTTTTGGTGATGTTGGTCTTCATCCTATTCTTGTTCAGTGATTTGTAGCAAGGCACCTAAGGCATTGGGTAATTAGGTGGTGCCTGTTCAAGGTGAAAAATCAGACAAGGACCAAGTGCATCGTGCTTTCTACAATCAGAAAGTCGGTGGTGCTTGTCTGATAGGAGAGCTAAAAGAACGCCTGCTCACCAAACAATCCCCTCTTCTGCATTTGTTGGTATCGGATGGGAAAGACCGAAAGGCTATGGAAATGCATCCCTCACTGCATCCCAACCACACAACATAGCTGCCGATTTACAAATCTCCCAACCGCGTTTCTGCAACGACGACAATGAGGCTATCATGCTTGCTCATTTCTTCGGACACGCCTGTCGACGGTTCCACGGCTGTGTCCCTTCCCACGGATGTGTCCCCATGAGACCACCATCATCCGCATGGCCTCCTTCATCTTATCCGAATATATATATATTTACCTACATAAAGCTACGAAGCAGAAATCTGGCGCTGGCCCCCGAGTTCCCACCCAGCACTAAGGCATGCGCGGCAACCCCGGTGGCATCCCTGACGTTGTCAAACTGGCGTCGAATGATCGCAAGCCTCTGGCAGAGGACATGATGGCTGCCTCATGATTCAAACAGCAGAAATACCCGAACTTGTGGTGGCTTTTACCAGCCAAAACAACGAATACGTCATCTTGCAGTCAGGTCAGGCAACCTTGAATATCTGCAATATTCGTGCGGCTCGTCTCCTAATGTCTGGCGTGCTCATCATGCAACGGGCGCTAAGGCCCTGATCCTCTCTATCAAATGAGGTCAGACCGGCGGCATGAGATGTCATGCCATTCAGCCATGCTTCTTGACGGAAGAGTATGTGCCTGTTGAACTTGGCTGTTGTGATAGAAAACTCATGTGGAAGAAAGCAGGATGAGTGGTATCTTCGGTAAGTAAGACAAACGTTCTACCAAAAGCAACCTGGAGCGCGGGGTTCGTGAGGGTTGCATGCATATTGCACCCCTCTCATCAACAACAAGCACCTAGATCGCCAATCATTTCCTCATAATATTTCGCCGTCGGACCGAACTAGCCGCTACTTAACGGTGTCAGTATTGCTGCTTGGTCTTCAACTATGGACTGAGCCATGTCGAATCAAGCTGCTGTGTGCTTTCTCTGATCACATGATAGTCCACGGCACCTCTCATACCGACCGACGATGTGTCCATACTCTGCCCAGGAAGGTTAGGCAACATGAAAACATGATCAACGCATCATCGAAAACTGCGATGAAGCGGATATGCCTGGGCCAGTTTTTAATGACTGCTGGATTCTACTACTGCACCGAACCCTGTATATTCCTTTTGCCCTATTTCCTTCCCTCCAAGACGAGATTCTTGTCTCCCCCTGTGAAATACGTCTTGAGGTTCTCTCCAACAACTCTCACCACATTCAGCCTCGTCGTGTCTGCGCACCAGGCAAGATGCGGACTCAGCACAACGTTAAGCCCGTTTTCCTGAACATCTTTCCCGAGCAGCACGCTGTCAGCTCCTGAGCCCGCAGGTTCCGTGGCAAAAACGTCCGTCGCGACACCGTACAGCCGCCCTTCACGCACAGCTGCCAGTAGTGCTGCCTCGTCGATTGTCCCGCCGCGACCAACATTGATGAGAACGGCGTCAGGCCGCATGGTTGCAATTTCCTCCGTCGCGATGAGATTCACCGTTTCAGGGGTGTGCGGGACGACAACGAATATGACTGTCGCGGTGCGGAGGACGTCGGCAAATGGGGTCCGGCCCGCCGGGACAGGCAGAGCTTGGTTTTTCCGAGCAGCGACGAGAGTCGGCATGCCGAGGGCTTTGCAGAGAGTCTCGATGCGGCGACCTGGCTGTGGTCAGCGCTCCCTGATATGATGACAAGGTGGTGGGTGAAATCGCGCTCGAGGCAACACATTCGATTCGGCCCAAGTGCAAGAAACGCCACAAATACAAGGGAAACGTACCGATGGGCCCGTAGCCGAGGATGCCGACAGTCTCGGTTTGGCAGGTGTGTGGCGGGCGACCCTCGGAGTCGCGGAGGAGACCAGACATGGTGCCGCTGGTCTTCCATGTGTTCGGGGTCGTTGGCGTGTATGTTGACATGGCGTTGGTGAGGACAAGCAGGCGACGGCGGAGGGTAAAGTACTGCATCGATTAGCTGCTATGATCCTTTCCATGCCATATCTGGCAAATGAGGCAAAAAGCTGTAGGTGGGAAGTAGCTGACCATGGCCAGAGCGTGCTCAGAGACGGCCTCTAATGTGGCATCCGGTGAGTAGAAGACAGTCACGCCGCGGCGGCGACATTCGTCAAGGTCAATGTGGTTCGTGCCGGTGGTTTCTGTGATAATACATTTCCTGTATCATGTAAGACGAGTCCAAATTTCACAGGTAGGGGCTAGTCCAGTGATGCCAGTGAAGACACTCACAGGTGAGGGGCCTCTCCGAGAGTTTGGGCGTTGACAGGAATCATGGTCGTGATGAAGATGCTTGCCTCGTGGAGCCTTGCTGCGATGAGCTCGTGCGCTGTCGCCGGTGTGTAATCGTACACTATAGCTTCGTGTGTGTAAGGCGACGAATCGATCTCAGGGGCTTCAACATGTATCGCCTCGAGCTTGACGATGACATGATGCGTCTCGCTCGGGAGCTTTTTGGGGTGAATAACCTCTGCCTGGTCCGCCATGACGAGTTTCTTGTAAATCAATCAATTCTGGAATGATTGCTACAGGCACTGTCATGGGATGTTCTTGTCACTTATCGGCGAGCACGTGTATTTATTCTGATGCGTTCCACCCTTCAGCTGAGAGCTGCTCCCCGATTCCGGACCGACCGGCTTCGGCTCTTGCGATCTAAGATCACCATCGGCGCGGGGGGCATCTGCATCTGCCACGGAGTACTAACCTTAAAGGTCCACATGGCAATACGGGAGACTACAAGCACTAATGCGTCGAGAATTCTCAATGCACGATCCCACGCTGAGGGGCCTTGTCCATGGTGTTTGAAGTTTTTCTGTAGCACTTCGTTGCCCTAGTTTTATTTTGTCATTGTTCGATAATGATGCAGCTATCAGAAATGTCGCGAAGTGTCAGCTTTTGGGCTTGTTCGTTCTCTGGGCCATCCTGCCCGTGATCCTTACCGAAGCCAGACGGCGGAGAATTGGATCTTCTCCTTCGAACCATCAACGATACACCTGCTTCCAATGATTCTGCACGAGACTTGAAACTGCGCATGAGGTCTCGGTATTCTTTAGCAAATACGCATGTAGCAAGTCCTGACCGGAACCCAAAATAGAAGAGGACAAGGCGCAAGGAGTGGCACGTGATGACCTCGGATCGTGCAACGGGGCGTGGCCCGTGTAAGTCGGTTTCTGGCGTTTTCTGACGATGTTGCGAGTTCCGCTACGTTTTGTTTAGCTGAGTTCCAGATCTGCCGTGAGCGAGACAATATGTGAACACCCAGCGGCTTTGACTGAGAGTCTGGGCAATCTGAGACTCGTCTCGCGTGCCCTGCCAGCAACCAATTGCCTGGCATGAATTGCGCTGCGCCCAGCGCTGCGACCACCTACTGAGTCGTGCCGGCGGACGGGGGCGCATACAATGCTCGTCGCTCCGACTGCTGAGAGATTTTCGGAGGTGTTGACTGGTGGAACTGAATAAGGTTGACGAGTAAGTCGGTCCCCTTGTTACACGAGGCAGCAAGCGGACTTCACAGCTCGTTCTCGCAATCTCACCTATAGTGCTGCTGAATCGAAGTCCCCGAACGAGTAGGATTCGGCCGTAGAAGAAATCGCAGGGCGCACGTCCAGTTTCGCATAGTCATCTTTTATAAAGAGGCGTCTGCTTCCCTATGGATGCTATTTTCCTCGCCTCCAGGACATCTACATCTTCTTTCTACACCCATCTACGATTCTTCCTTTCAGTCGGTAGTGTAGATATCTAATCAGCCAACATGCATCTACAGTCGACCCTTGCCTTCCTCCTCACCCTCGCCGTGGCCACGCCGGCCCTGGCACAGTGCAGAGGCGCCATGACCAAGACTGAGATCAAGTGCCTCTCGGAAACCATCGATGGAAAATGCGACGAGTCTCGCCTCACCAGCAGGTGCCCTGCAGGCTAACGGACAAACTGGCAATTCATCCGGAATCGCTGTGATGTGATCGGAGTCTGCGAGTACCAGGTGTGTAAATGTGACGTCCCTGATCATCGGCTGGGCCTCTTGTCGCATGCCTCACGGTCTCGACGAATCCTGATCGTTAGCTAACACTGACGATTCTAGTACAATTGCTGCGCGCGGTCTTGAAATCCCATCTGAATCCGCTCCTTACCCAACGACAAGGGCTGAAGTCCCTGCATCCTCTTCTTGCGGTGCGCGGTGGCACTTTCGCACCAGTGCCGGCGCCGTACTGCGTACATACTTTGATAGCGACACCCAATGTACAAACTAGCGCTTTCTCAAATTCTTTCTTAAAAAATCGTTGCGTTTGTGACAGTAGATTAGTGCACCGTGGCTTCATGTCTTGTTCGGTGTTGTTAGAGGCGCTGGAGCAAGTGAAAACATGTCAGCCACTACACCCGCATTGCCACTGTGACTATATGTCAAGCGGATGCTTGGTAGCGTTTCTTGAGCCTACATAACTTGCCAAACTATATTCGCTTTATTCATTCCTTGTAAAATGGCCTGGCAGTCCGCCCCTCTTCCTACATCATGTGAGACTCCCTTGCTCGACTGCCATGTAGTAATCATTAGAATGGTGATTTGACCGAACCTCGATGTACACGCATATTTCAATCGATATAATAGGGGCTAGGTGCCCCTTTCTCAAGACATTGGCTCGCTAGCTGTCGACCTCTTCTGTCGTCAACTCGGCCATCAATTATCAGGAGTGAGGAATTCGTCGAAATTCGACTTGTGGTCTGCCGTATTATCATAGCAAAGTAAGGGCGTCGTTTGAGCTTTTTTTGACAAGACTGGTGGACCTCGGGACCGATTATTATTCACTCAAGCAGGTCATCATTGCAAACTCATGAATCGACATCTCGTTCAGCCGATGAAAGCCGCTGTTCATTTCATGCAACCTCCGACTATGGTGAAAACCCCCAGCTCTGGCATGATTGCAGGCGGTAGCGGTGTACCGCTGACAACTCTTACTTCCTGAACGTCGCACTCCTGTTTCCATGCAGAGGCGGCGCCTTCCGAGCCCCCTTGGGCCCATCCTCGCCCGTCTTCGAGTACGGGTCGAACCTCTCCTTCTGCACGCCTCCGCCAGCGTTGCGCCCGGCATGTAGTACCGAGCTCGCGTTGCTGTAGTCGAACGCCTCGGGCGCGCCGGCCGCCGCCTTGGCCGCCTCCTCCTCCGCCTTGCGTGCCGCCTTGGCCTGCTTCTTCGCCTCCTTGGCCGCCTTGCGCTCGGCCTTCTCGAGCTTCTTCCGCTTCTTCTCCGCCTTGTCGGCGCCCTCAAAGTCCGGCTCCGAGGCCGAGGCCGACTTGCGGCCCGTCTTGGCGTCGCTGCTCTCCTCCGGCTCGTCCCCGCCCGCCTCGGCCTGTGCCTTCTTTGCAGCCCGCTTGGCTGCTTTGCGCTGCAACTTGGCCGTCTTGCGTTCCTTCCTTTCGCGTTCGAGCTTGGCTTCCTCGTCCTCGATTTCGATGGCCTCTTCCACATCGGACGAGTCCTTGTCGTCCTCGTCTTCGTCTTCAGAGCTGGAATCACTCTCTTCCTCCTCCTCTTCGACCTGCTTGCGTTTCAGCCCACTTCTCAGCGTGAACTCCCGGTCGGGCTCCTCCTGCGCCGGAGCAGCTGGCGCAGCTGGCGCCGCAGATTCGGGCTGCTTGTCGGCCATCTCCACGTCTTCGGGATGTTGACGGAGCCTTGTGTCCCGCTTCCTGCATGATCCTCTGCCACGGCAGCAGCACGTACCCCTGCGGCCTGCTCGTCAGAGAGGCCTCCCACTTGGAGCTGGATCGGGACGTCGCCGAAACAGCTGTGATCGGTCGAGCTTGCCAGACTGAAACATCGTCAGGGACGTCCCGCCGCCGGCTCGGCCAACTTTTGAGTCGCTCGCCTCGTCGTTGTCGAGGAGCTGGTGTCGTTCTGGAAGAATCGAAGCAGGCTCTGGCTGTCGTCGCCCTCGTCGCGTCCCTTCTTGAACGCCGCCCAGATCTCGCCGACGTTCCTCTTGGCAATGATCGAGTTGCCGTGAATAAGGCTGTGCAGCGCCTTGGCGTCCGGAGGCATGTGGCGGGCAATCTCGGCGATGGCGGCGTTCGGGAGCACGTAGCCGGTGCTTTCGTCGAGGCGGCGCGCCGTGTCGTCTCGCCACTTCCAGATGGCGCGGTAGGCCGCGAACTGCTTGCCGGAGAGGGGCATGGGGTTCTTCAGCAGGACGCCGTACCAGCCCCTGGAGCCGTGGCCGGTCTCGGGGTCAAAGTCGAGGCCTTCGTAGCGGCTCAGAGAGAGCTCCTTGGACTTCTGCAGCACCTGCTGGATAATGTCGGTTTCGGGCTTGCTGCGATCCGACGCATCCAGGAGCTCGTTGCGGATCCTGTCAAAAATGTAGAGCAGATAGTGTGTATCGGAGCGTGCGTAGTAGAACATTTCTTCTGGCAGTGGTCTGTTCGTGTGTGAGAAGGGGGGGGATTCAAGTGAGACACTCAAGCAGTCTTACCGAATACGCCAGTCTGCCATTTGGTACTTCTTGTCGGCGTCGAAGTCAACGAATCGCTTGAGAAGGTAGGCCAAACTGCGCTGGGGGTAGCCGAGAATTTCAGCGGCGAAGAATGTGTCGAAGAGTCCGTTGATGTAGAGACCAAGATCCCTCTGCAGCCACTGCATGTCCATATGCGCGCCGTGGAAGACCTGACTTGTTAGATATACGATGGGTGGGATTTTTGCTCTTAAGACTGACCTTGACGATTTTGGGATCGGTAAAGACCTCGTTGAGAACCTCGAGCTGGTGACGCCACGGCTTCAGGGTGTCGACGATCCAGTCCTGATCGCGGGTGCTGATCTGCATGAGCGAGAGGAGGCCGGCATATGTCCTGGTGTCATGATGTTCCAAATCCACCGCAATTTCCTTCGCCTTCTTGAGCTCCCCCAACATCTCGAGAACACCCTCGTACGTGTCGACCCATTTCGCAGTGGTGGATTTTACAGGGTGGTAGAGAATGGGTTCGGCCTTCTGGTAGACTCGCTCGGGGTAGCTTGCTGCCAGTATCTCGGCTTCGTATGGGTGTTTGGAGCCGGATTCTGCCGAGTCCTGCGCCAGGCTTTCTTCCAAGGGCACGGATGCGTTGGGCTTCTTGGAGAGAACAGGCTTCCATGACGTGTTGTCGATTGCGCGTTCGAATTCGAGTTGGGGCTTGGCCATGTTGGCGTTCCTCATGTTGGAGGCAAGAGCGGTTCTGGGCTTCTTCGCGTTGGGAGTCTTTCTACACGTCAGCGAACGATTCATAACAAACAATCACAGAAAGGAGCTGTCCTACCGTCTCTGTGGGCGCATCTTTCCTCTTCAGCACACCAGTAAACTCGTCAATGGACCGGTCTGCCTTCTCGAGCACGTTGTCGAGAACGTCGACAATTTTGCGCCAGTGCATGTCCACATCGTCGGCATCTTCAAGCTCGGGGACAGATCCCTGTCCACAGACCTCAGCAGCTGACTTGAGGAGTTTGTGGGAAAGGCCAAGCAGCCGCGCGGTCGTCTCATCGAGCTCGTCGGCGACGGAGGGGTTGACGGTGCGCTGGAAAGCGAGGTCCTCGGCGGCGATGCGGTTGGCAGACTTGACGGTCGTGACGAGCGCCTTCTGCACCTCGTCCTGCAAGGCCTTGAAGTCGGGAGAAGCCATGGCGACGGTGACGGTCGTGAGTTGCGATGGGATCGACCTTGTCGGGCTTTGCGAGTTGAGGTGGGCTGGGTCAAAAAATCGTAGCGCAAAGGATCGACTTTCAATTGCGATAAGATAACGTCTTCAGATTCTCCACTTATCGTGAGGTGCATCGATTTCCACGATGTTGACGTGCAACGCGGGTGCGTTCTTGATGCAGATCCCCTGCTTCTTGACATGGAAAGTCCGGTATGTAGCCAAAGATTCCGATGTGATCTCTCAGGCTGAATCGTACATCTCTCTAGCTGAGTTGTATCGGAGTATAAGCAAGATTTGTGTCAAGATTGACAGTTCTGTACTCAAGCCCGAGCCAGCCGTTCCAGAGGTACGTACCTCGGAGCTTCACCACGTTTTTAGTGAGCCTCAGGAAGCTTGTGACTTGGCTTTCGCCTCCCTCACTCACCTTTCCATCCATTGCGATAACCCAGCTCAACATGTCTGCCTCTCTTGCGCCCGAGTGCAACGAGGTCAAGGAGTAAGAGATTTTGATCCTGCAAATAGCCATGCGAAGCTCACAGGAACAGGCGATACGACACGTGCTTTCTGAAGTGGTACAGCGAAAGTAGGCCCAGTCCCCCTTCACCCCTGTGCCTCCGCATTGCATTCTCACATAGCACACCAGAGTACCTGCGAGGCGTTGGCGCCGACAACAATGAGTGCGCGGATCTCTTCAAGAGCTACCAAAAGTGCTTGACGGTTGCGATCAAGGAGCGCGGCATCGACAAGCTGGTGGAAGAGTCGAGGGAAGACAACAGGGAGAATGACGCGGCATACCTGGGTCGCAAGTGTAGGTTCACAACATTCTTGGCAGGCAGCTTGTATCTGACATGGTTCGCAGGACGGCACGTAGGTCGGCTTTACTTGCATGGAAAAGGAGTATAGGGTTTGGGTTTTTGATACACTTCTTCTCATCTCAACCCAAGGGCATTTGTTGATGTCTCCAGGATGTGGCTTCCTAGAAATACAAAGTCAGGATTTCATGCGTTCAAGAAACATCGCGTGGCATGATCAATGATACATTGATGAAAAGAAAATATGTCCACCCCTTGATTCATTCGCCTATGCAACTGCCGGCTTCTGAGGTCCCGTGGTCAACTCAAGGCAGAAGGCAAACAGGACAATATTACAACATTGCACAGCATTCCACCCCCATCACCACACGTGACTCTCCCTAACAGGCCTTGAGCGCTCCCCCCCCCAGAGGCCCCAGAGGCCCCAGGCCCCTGGAGAGAGAAGCCTAAGGTCAACGACCTGGGGCGCCAGTGCCGGGCCTTTTAGCGGGCCCAGATCCCTGGCGATCCACTGGAACGGTGGATCTAAACCATTTCGTTCCCGAGTGACGCCATTGGGACACGCCTGAACACCTGCCCGCCGCCTGGTCTGG